TAACTTCACCTGAAAGTTTTTCAGGTAATTTAGTCGTCTCTTTTTTTTTAAGCAATTGATTATCTGCAGAAGTTGAAAACGTTTCATTAGAATTACTATTTATTTCCCAGATTTCAGATGATTCTTCCAGTTCGATACTATTCTCTGCGATAACCTAACGGATATAAACAACAATGTTACATACTTCCACATCAACTTTGTTGTTGAGTTTTTCAATAACTACCGGAGAAGGAGATAACTGATTACTTGAGGTATCATTAGAGAGGCTGTCCATTTGTTTACTTAATTTTTTACCAGAGTTCATTGAACTCTTTAAACGCCTTTTTTTCATTATAAAAGGGTTCAAAAACGAAGCACAATCATATAAAGCCCATCCTTTTGTATCTCTCTTAGTTCCTGCAGCAACAAATTCTCTTCGATTACGTTCTTTAGAGAAATATTGTCTTAATCTTCTGTAACGATCTTGACACTGTTCAACTGAAAATATTAATGGTTACAATTATTTACATATTTTGTAAAAGTTGGGTTTAACAAAAAAAATATATAATTCTTTTACCTTTTACATTCATTTCTACAGATATATTATTCCAAGCTAAATTAATTTTTTCTTGATTTGTTTGGATAATATATATATGGGTATTGTTTTATAAGAGTTAATAAAACCATGTCAAAGTCATCATCATTAATACTTTGGTCAAGAAACTCATCATCATTTTCACTATTGTGAGATGATTTATTATTTGGATAATAATTATGTTCACTCATAATTTTAATCAGATTTAATACACCTTTTCAAAGATTTTCTTTTACATTCACAGTATCGTCTCAAACTGAAATAAATTTACGCGGGTGAAAATAAAAATACATTTCACTTGGAATCGAGGTTAGGTTTAACGTTGATACAAGTATGTATCACGTCGCTTGTATCATATAACTTGTAGCATATATCACCGTTTCGTGCGGTCGGCTTATAGCAGCTATCTCTCTCTAGCATTTGACGACTTTTCGGCTAAATGCGTAATCTAGTTATATTTCTATGGGCACATCTGTCAGCCAGCCAACCAATCAGCAAACTTCCCGTGCAGTTAGTCAGCCAGCAATAAAGAGAGGGCTCCGATATTTTACATATGAGTAAGTAATTGGCTAATTTAATATAAAATTTTCTAATTGATAGTCCAGCAGAAAGACGCCGGCCTCTAGGCGCCGGCCAATGTGAGTGGATGTGTACTATCGCACTATGCGCTGGGTCTCTTTCTACTTATTATAAATCCGGATTTAGGGCCACTTAACCAACTCCGGTTAACTCAACTGACTGATTCATTCAACGGAATTAACCAATTGCATTAGTTTAGCTAATTGGCTAACACCTATTTGTAACATCATAGTATAATTCTAATTTACGATTAACTTAAAGGAATTGACCAATTGCATTGGCTAATTGACTGAACTGATCAATACGATTAATCAATTCCGTTGAGTTAATCGTCAATTCAATTTAAACCATGATGATAGAAACAGATATAATTGAATTAATCAATCGGTTAAGTTACCGGAACCGGTACAAGTGGCCCTTAAGCCCGTATCAGGCTACGGATTGGGAATTGAGATTGAATTGAATTTGGCCAATCAGTGCAAAGTTAATTAAAATTCAAGTTCAGTGAAATTTAGTGAACTTCGCACTGATTGATTAATTTTCAATTGAATCTCAACCTTCAATCCTTGGTCTATAGATATGGGCTTTAGGCCGGTGTTCATAATCAGGTCTTATATTTAAGATAGTCTCAAATTCATCTTCAGATGCTTTGTAACCAATGAAATGAGCCATATAGTATTTGAAGATGAACTTAAGTCGACCTTTTGTTTAAAATTCGACTATGAATACTCGTCATAATATTCAGCGACATTTCTTTACTATCAAAAGTGATATTGCCACTGATATTGTTGCATAAATTATTATTAAACATCTTTACAAAATATAAGTTGTAAGATGATTCGGCCGCATTTAAATACATCTGTTTAAATATATTATCTATTTAATACATTATCTATTTAAATACATTAATCTGAAGTGCGATTTTCAAAAATTAAAAAAATTGAATTGTATTTTAAAGTTTTTTAGATTTTAATACAAATAAATCAATTTGTTGAATCTACTAATTATAGTATAGAGGACTAAACAGAATTCTATTTTTATTTAATTTAAACATTGTGTTGGAACTATACGACGCTCGAAAAATTTAAACTTTTCTAATAACACGATATTGATTTGTTTACACGGCAACGTTAATCCGATTTAATTACTGTTGTATACGAACTTTTGCATTTAATTAGAGTATTAGAGTAGAGTATATTTTTAGATCTAAAAGGATATACCAATCAGATGTAAGAGTTCACTAACTACGGTTGTTACTAAACCGAATTTAGAGGTCTGTTCGTTTTCGCTGCAACTCTGAATTAGCGCAATAAGTTGAAGCGAGACAAGTATATGTTTTCTCACTTCAATTTATTGCACTAGTTCAGTGTTGAAGCGAAAACGAACAGACCTTATGTTGCCGTGTAAACGTAGTCATTCATAGGCCTAGAAAAGACAACATAACCTCTCTTTTATTCAGTGGTAAGTTAGAATAAAGTTTGAAAGAATTCAAAGGTGTGTTACGCTATTTATTACTTAATCATTGTTATCATTTTTGATATTTATATTATTAAGTAGTATAATCTTCATTATTAAACGTCTCAAAAAGTTTATCATTATTACATTTTTCAATTTATATCTAATTGGTTAAGAAATATTTATACACTGTTATTAATCCAAATTATATTCCACAATTTTTATTTAGAAAAGTCTTTGAACATTTCATGGTGCAACAGTGATAATGTAAATAAATAAAGTATTGATATATATAACAGTGATTTAAATAGATAATATTATATCATCTAAAGGAAAATAAACAAGAACAATATATAATATGACAATTTTCATAACCAAGAATCAATTTTTCTACAAGTCTAAGAATGATGCAGGCCACGAGGATGATGATGAGAAGCTCAAGTATCTATGAATCCTTTATTCCAAATTCTGTTTACACACAATGCATACGCTGGAAAAGAAGGCCAATATGGTTACCTACAGGAAAAAAGAGAATATTTCGAGTACCAAAAAGGCCTGTCATACCTATTGAAGATGAAATGGAACTCCAACGTTTATATAATAATTACAGGACATTTATGAGGTCATTGAGGTACTTGCACAAAGATATAAAATTATAGTCTTAAGATCATGCTATTCCATGCTTAGATTTTTAGCTGACTTAATTGATTTAAAATAATGAAACTCTTATTTAAGACTCAATGTTCAATCTGTTTCAGATTACACATAACGAATGCTGTGGCAGAGAGTGAGGTGCAATTTGATGAAGCAAAACTCAAGCAAGCTGAGGAGGAGGATTTCCAAGCGTGTAGTGCTATAAACGATGAATGGAATGCGAACGTGGCAAAGATACGAGAGGCCAAACACGTAGAACTAAGGGAAACTTATAAAAAGAAAGCCTTTGAAAAGATGGTAAAAAGAGAGGCAATGCTGGGGAATTTGAGGGAACAAGTCGACGAAAAAATTAGGAAGGCCAAGGAGGAGGCTGTTACATTCATCACTGCAGAAAATATCGACGCGATGATCGAGGAATGTCTTGCGAACGTCGTCGATCACAATCGTGCGATAGATTTGCAGGGGAACTGGTACGATGGAAAGCATCCCGCAATGCCAACCGACGAGAAGATGGCGACGCAGTCAACGGTCGTCCAGCAATAAGTTTAATTTTAGAAGTCGATGTCCAGAGATTGTTTAAAGAAATGAGGATAGATGAATTTTGCTCTTGAAATTTGACTACGTTCGCTGATAATGTAATATAATCACGAACATTATTGTTTTCTCCAGGAGTTCTAGACTTGCTGGGATGATATGATAAGCATAAGAATTGATAGACTATTGTAATAAATACGAAATAAATGTCTCACGATCGTTCCTTAAATATAATTAATATATATTCTCGATAAATATTAAGACATCGCAACTTGAATATCATTCGTACATCATTTATGTAGTCGAAGCCCAGTAAATAAGAAATAATTAAATCAGTATTTTGAAACATTGATTTTATGTGGATTTTAAAAACATTTTAACAATATTTGATAATTATTTTTAAACTGTTACTTGATAAAATAATATAATATTTCTAAATATTAAAATTATAGTGTAGAAATATTATTTTTAATGCTTACGTCAAATATTGTTAACATTGACGTTGTATGTAACATTAAGAACTATATATTTGAAAACGTTACATATTATAAAATATTATTGTAATAATATTGTGTTAATAATTTCTTACTTATTGGGAGTAGATCACAGTGTGTCTCCTGTTCAAAAGTATCCGGAATTTTCTATTTAAACGATGCAGTTGAACCGGGCTCGAAATTTCTTTTTGCCCAGTCAAACAATTAATAAGGAATATTACTTAACACGTTGAGTGCCCCGTCAGTCACCGGTGACTGACAGCATAAAGTACGATATAAAACTAAAAAAATGACATAGTTTAATAAGTAATTTCAGGATCGTATAATTAATATACTTAAATATTTCTTATCAACAAATTTTAATTTTTTGGCCTGAACGAGATTTCCTCCGAAATGCGCGTGGCACTCAACGTGTTAAAGGTTATAAGGCATTTATATGAAGCGATTCGCAAAAAAACGTTCAAATTTGCGGAAAGACAATTTATGGATTTTGTATCACAATAATACACCATCTTACACATCGATGTTAGTACGCAACTTTTTAGCCAAAAACTTGACAAATATCATTCCTCATGCACTTTATTCGCTAGATTTGGCTCCCTATGACTTTTTCCCGATCCCAAAACTCAAATTACCACTTCGTGGAAAGCGTTTTGAATCGACAGAGGCTATAAAAGAAAATTCGCCGAAGGAACTGACGGCTATATCCCCATCAGCTTACGAAAAGTATTTTGAAGAATAAAGCGGGTAGAACGTTGGTACATGTGCGTTGCAAAGAATAGGGACCTATTTCGGAAAGGACAAAATAAATTTATTCGATTAAATATCAATTGGTGTGTTTCGTTTAATAATTCCGAGCATTTTACGAGCACAAGATAAACAACTTGCAATATGTAGCGGAGGTATAATCGCGGAAATTTTATCGTTTTCTGTTTGAAATCGTCGACGGAATATAACATGTGATAATTTCCGTAATTCTCGTACAAAATAGTCGGATACCTCGGAAAAGCGTGGCTAATTAAGACCAGTTAATTAATCAAGTCCTCACGTCCTTGTGGGATACGCGTGCAGGTGCTTGGAGAGGTGCCGGAAAAGCGTACGAGGCGGTCAGAATAATTAGCGGAGCGTCTCAGAGCACCTCATTAAAACCGCGCGACTCGAATGCAAGCCGGTGCACTCTCCGGTGCACATATGCATATACATAACGCGACTGCTGTATTTACCTGCTACCCTTTAACGCACTTGAAGCGCAGTCTTTCGCGAACGGCGCGCCGACTCGCACCGCTAATCGCACTCGCGTTCGTGCGACGCTTTAACGCAAAGTAAGAAAACGAGAGGAAATCTGGAAATCCGAGGACACTTGACGCGTTCGTTTAAGCTCTTGTGAAACGTGACGGTGAACAGAAAGGAGCGCAAGTAAAAGAAATGCGAAAAATCTGTGCTTCCTATCTCGCGGGTAGCAAGTGAATCGAGAAGAAGCCTCGCACAGAATTTATGAAAATTGAATTTCGGTGGAATTTTGGCTGAAAATTTGATATGTTACATAGTTCTTGTGCAAATGAAAAATTTCAATGGGCACAACTTTTAATAATCAAACGTGTGACCTGTACACCAAACATAAAAAAGTCGCTAATATCATAATTTCCTACTTCTATCGAGTAAGATATATTCCTACTTCATCCTATATATACAGGGTGACCCAGGTTTTTCGTGCAAAATTTTCATAGCGTGTTCTGTGAACTGAAATAAGAGAAAAATGTTATATAAACACAGGTCACGAAACGCTTTATTAAAAAGTTATAGCAAAAATATAAAGTACGACAGTCGTTAAACGAACATTATCCCGAAAAGTGGATTAGTCGAGGAGAACCGGCCTCTAAGAGTCGAGGAGAATATCTTGGCCTCTATGATTCAAGATTATTAGATCTTGGTTGTTAGACCTTCTATCTGTGGAGGATAATGAAAAACAAAGTTTATTGAATACAAGTCACGTCAATTCTGTTGAAAAAAGCCAGATGGGAATTCCATATAGAAAATCCATATAGAATCCCACAGTTACTCTTGGGGATTTGCGCTATAAAACCCAGATCCTACGGAAGAATTCATGTAGATTCCTATCCTAATGAGCGTAAGGTTCAAAATAGATGCATAATACAACTTGAAAATATCTTTCCGAGTTTTTTAAGAAATGTTTTTACGATTGATAATATAATATTCCTAAATATTAAAATGATAATATAGAAATATTATTTTTAATGTTTGGGTCAAATATTATTAACAATGACGTTATATGTAATATTTAGAACTACATGAAAAACGTTAGTGTCGGTCCACAATAGGTATTTTAAGCCTTAAGCTTTAAGAAATTGACCAATCACAGTCGAATGTGAGGAGAATAATTAACTGTGATTGGTCAATTTCTCAAGGCTTAAGGCTTAAAATACCTATTGTGGACTAACACTTACATGTTATAAAATATTATTGTACTAACATATTAATGACTTCTTGCTACTGGGAGTGAACGTCTGTAAAACGGGGTCTACAATGAGAATTTAAGACATAAGATTTAAAAAATTGGCCAATCATAATTGATTTTTTTTCTATAATTCGACTGTGATTGGTCAATTTCTTAAGTCTTACGCCTTAAATTCTCATTGCAGATCTTGCTTAAGACGTTTCTTAAAGAACTCTGGAAGATATCTTAAAGTTATCTTATGCATTGATTTTGGACAATATGTTCACTGGAATATGAATTTTCACCATGTGGATCCTACATGGATTTTTAATATCCTGTTTGGATTCGTGTTCCGTTGGATTTTCGTAAAAATCCACTTGAAAATTTTTAACAAGGAAGATATGAATTAATACTAAGAATTATCGACACGCAACTACAGAGATTAAGCAAAATTGGAGCAAAATCTCTAGGGTGATAAATTCGATATTATATTGATGTTAAGCTTGCATTGATATGGGCGAACGACATTTAAAATGCACTTTGATGAAAAATTATTTCTTACATATTTCATATTTCTGTTGTTACTTTTTAAAAACGTTTTGGGACCTATGTTTATATAACATTTTTCTTCTATTTCAGTCATAAAATATATTAGTCAAGTTTATGCGAAAAATCTGGGACACCCTGTATATTTTCATTTATGTGTATATATTTTAAAGTGAGAAGCTTTAAAAGTGACATTGATTTCAGGTCAATAATCATATCTGAAGCCTCGAATAAGTTAAGATAAGATATCTTAGAGTACTTCAATGTACAGTTTTTTTTATTAATATTTCAATACTTAGCATGACACCTGGTAAGGGCTTTTATTAATTAAATAATAAGCTATTATTACGCGAGTAATAGCTATTCAGAGTAATATTAGTAATGATATAAAAAGTAAACATGTATATATATACAGTGAAAGGCAAGGGGATTCAAATAAATTAAGCACCCCGACGTGAGAGACGAGGGAATTCACGTAAATAAAGCACCCCGAAAGTGCCTAAAGCCTAACAATCTCCACGTCGTAAATTTGGATATTACTCAGATTAAGTTACACACGTATACACGCACATACACACTCCTTAAAGAGCATATTCTAGATTCTAAGTTTATCGATATAAAGCAACTTTAATTACGTTTACTTTTATTGGTTTAAATACACTGAAATCAGGTCATCGACCTCAAATCAATGTCACTTTTAAAGCTTTTCGTTTTAAAGTATATACACAGAAATGAACCGAGATAAACATATTTCTGTATATTGTCTATATCGTGATTAATATAAGTATGTTAAGTTAGGTCCTCATATAACAAGCACTTGGCCAATATATAAAAGATCATCTGATACTGCGAAAATTATGATAATATCGCGACGATGTTCTGTAAAATATTGCTGCTTATTTTGCCCGAAAGAAAACGCAATTAATCCGAATTTATTATAATAATAAGAAATCAATACTTTTTAATTAAAATTATGTAATTATTACGTAATAAATTTAACTTTTTAATTAAAATTATGCAATTATTACGTAATAAATGAGTATGTCAGTATATAAAAGAAAATAATGTAATGTGAAAATTGCAGAAATATTCTGATATCATAAATATTGCTGTTTATTTTATCTGAAAGAGAACGCAATTAATCCGAATTTATTATAGTAATAAAAAGTCAATATTTTTTTATTAAAATTATGGCGTAATAAATAAAACGTCAATATATATCTTCTAATATCGTAAAAATTACGGGGATATTCTGATGCTATAAATATTGTTACTTATTTTGGCCAAAAGTGAACGCAATTAATCTAAAATTATTATAGTAATGAAAAGTCAATACTTTTTAAGTAAAATTATGATATAATAAACGAGTATTTATTAAAACAAGTATATTTTAAACTTGTATCGGTGTAACTGCATCACAAAGTATTAAATGTTTGCATACCATGTTCAACATTTCTGTCTATCTGGAAATATATATATAAATATATATATATATATATATATAATTGGTGCCTCATACAAATTAAAAAAGTTGATTACTGGATGTTGTGTTAATGATTGAATCTTTTCATCTGTACGATAAGAACTACAACAAATCAAATTTTCAGCCAATTGCACCGAAATCCAATTTTCATAAGTTCTGTGAGGTTCTGTCCTTTACCACATAGAATTTGGAATTTCTAACATGTCGCAAACCGAAAAACATTTCGTTGATTTATCAATCTCGCCTATCGCATTTTGTTTATTTCAATTTTTCGATTTCTCTAATGAGTTTACTTTGATTTTTTGAAGACGCAGTTTTTCATTGAAAACAAAGTCGATTGATTTAAGAACGGAGAACGTCATTCTTCCAAAGAAGCGACAGGATTTAGTTGTTACGAATCAACGACGCATCAGTGAAAATGTATAGCGTACACGTAACACCGGGAAGATCTTCGGAGCGGAAAAAGGACACAGCCGATATAGACAGCGAAATCAGTGCGTACAAAGGACGAAGAAAGGAGTCGATCTCTGTGAAGCTGAAGAACTACATCCGCTCGCAATTTCAGCCAGATTCCGTATCGGGTGAGTTGTGAAAAGTTGATCGCTTTTCAAGTTTTACTTAGTAATTTCTTTGTTTACTTACGACCAACTTCCTCTCGTATAAGTTTCTTTGTTCATTTTTTCATTACCGCATAGAAGTGTGGACACGTATATTTTTTATGCTCCCTTGAACTTTATTTATAATTATATTAAAATATACAAAATATATATATATTACGCAGCGAGCCTGCAGTATATATATATATATATATATATACATTGCAGGCTCGCTGCGTAATCTAACAAAAGGCACGTAAGAATCGTACTGTGAATTCCTATTATAAAAATTCTCAAGATCCTTAGCTTAAGAAAAAATATAATCTTAAAATTTTGGAAAAAAACCCTTTTTTTTATTTTTTCATGAATTTCTTTGATTTTTTATATCTTATTCGCGGAAAAAAGTAAATGTGGCAAGTTTTAACCGAAATATGTGAATTTTTTTAAACAAATTTTTGTACCCTTGAAACACAAGCCGAAGAAATCCGTGGAAAAATGGGGGAAAAACGATTTTTCCCGAAATTTTAAGATTACACAAAAAAACATAAATCCTCACATCGCGCGGTATCGCGAATAAGTGTGAATACTTAATAACATAAGATTTTAATCGCCATATTTTCGAGATGTGGAATGGGAAGGGGTAGGAGGGGGGGAGAATGAGATACGTTTGTCTCTCTATTTCAAAGATGCGGGATGACATTGGTCGCATTAGCCCTGAAGTATTTATCTCTCTGGGAAGTAGGAATATAATGAAGGCGAAGGGGAAGCGTCATAGAAACGTTCTCAGGTAGAATCGACCGTCTATCTGCGAGATAATATCGACCATTCTGTTTCCATTTCTTGGTATTGATTTCTGGCCTGGATATCGGCACTACCAAACCGGCCAAATAATCGCACGTGTCAGTCGTTGACGTGGAAACGGAAGAGCGTGGAAACGGCGATCTCGCGAAATAATTGCTCAGGTGTCGTGGCAGAAGCGCGGGGCTCGAATGATGAAAGAGCTTCGGTGATCATCCCACTTCCGAGCCCGCCGCTTAATAACGCGTCCGCGGTTATCTGTCCGCGGTGTGGAAATGAAATAGTCGGCGGTTGTTCTGGAACATCCTTCGTTGTCATTCCGTGGCCCAGACGGCAACGTTTCTTCCTCGAGCCACGATTCGTGAGCGTGCTTTAAGTCTTGGCGATATCCGACGTGGGGATGTCATCGATCCGCACGGCGGTGACATTGCAGAAGAGCGAGTCCGACACTTGGATGTCCTCGGTGATCGTCGCCGGTTCATACTGATTCATCCACACGTCGTTGATCGGAGCCTCGATGTCGATCTCCCTCAGGTCATCATTGCTGGGAACGGTATTCGCGTGCATCGTCGACGTACCGGCCGCTGTTGTCCTCGTCGCAGACTGTTCAGGCTTATGGTAATCACCGGGCATATTCGTCATTCGCATGCCCTGCGAGGTGTCGTTGTAGAGCATCCAGTAGGCTGAGAAAGAATGCTGCCTTTGCTCGGCGGTGTACTTCCGCGTTTGCGAGCAGGTGTTGTTCGCCAGGCTGGACCTCTGCGAGACGATCGGCGCCACGTAACAGTACACGCAGGACGTCTGGCCCAGCTTGGTATAGTCCACATGCTTCGACGCGTTGTAGTTGAGGATGTTCTCCAGATTATTGTCGCTGATCTGGGCGGTCCACTTCGGCCAAAACGGCTCCATCGTTCCTGATTTTGACGAATCGGGCGAATTAATTAGAGCGGGAAACGGGTGCCTGTTGCTTGTCACGCGTGCGCGACCAAAGTAAGACATTTACATAATGCATACTTTACGAACGATATACTCTTTCAAGATATGCTAAAGCGATCGTTAAATCTGTGCAGGCCGTGAAAATCGATATAGTGAAATAAGTGAGACAAACGCGCACCATTCACCGATACTTGCATGCTCGCTGCACTGGTCGCCTGGTTGACAACACAATCCACCTCGGCCACGACGTTACCATCGGCAACCTGTTGGCTCTCCAATTGCTCGTGCAACGTGTGATCCGTCTCCTGCGCGAACCGAGGATACAGGTACTGGTAGGTGGCTTCGGAGCTGCCACGTATATCGCTCGAGAACGTCTGCTGACCGTTCGCGTAGACGCCCTGCTGTGCGCAATTTTGCACGAGCGGCTCGACACCGCGGAAATATCCCGCGCCGATATCTTCGCCGTTCTTGCCCGAATTTTGCAGGTAATATATGTCGGCTGTGTCGTTGGCCGTGATCATGTCGGTGCCGCCGGTCACGTAACCGGTGTCGAAGTTGAGGAAGTTTTGACTGCCGTTGCAGGCCTCGGTGTTGACCTGATACGACTGATATGGCAGATTGTTGTCCGCGGCGTGTGCGGACATGACGGAGTCCGTGTTGTTGTTGTAATAAATCGTGTGGAACATCTTGGACGACTGCAGGTCCCCCTCGGGCACTTCTACGCTGGTGACGGTCCAGTTCTGATAGTTCTGACGATTGTCCAAGTCATCGGGATACCTGTACTGGTCCTCGCTGGCGAGGACTCCGGAAACCTGAGGCACCAGCGCGTCCACATTTCTCAGGTTCGCCTCATTCAGCAGGAACTCTCCCTTGGTATTCTTTAGCAGGCTATAATACTCGTTGGTGTTTGCGGTGGCCTCCAGTTGATCTTCGTTCTCGTTGCTTTCGGACTCGGCGGTCAGAGTGTCGGAATTATCCAGCAGATTGCTTGCCCAAAACAGCGAGCTGGCGATCTCGCCCAAGTTGGCACCCACCGGCGCCTGTAACATCCTCTTCAGTAAGAATGGACCTTGCGAGTTGCCCTCCGGCTCTTTCAGCACTTGGTAGCTCGGTCGGTCCATGCTGGACATTGCGAGCGGGTCCGCGTTGTTGATCAAACTCGCCTTGGGATAACTCGGCACATCGAGGGAGATCGCTTGCATGTTCGGTGAGATGCCTGTCGCCGTTCGCAGGTCCATGATGCTCAGGTCCTGGTTGTTGTTGTTGGTGTCGCACGTCTGGAACTCCCGCTGGATCCTCTTGAGCAGAAACTGCTTGAACTCGTCGTAGTGCGGGATTTTGTCGTCGTCCCTGCTCATGATCTCCTCTTCGGCGCCGATCTGCAACAATGGAAAATACTTTGTCCGAAGTCAATCATGGCCGTTTCGCTAGTCGCCAGGCGAAGAGGTTTATCGTGTTATCTTTCCACGGTTTCAGTGGCAGATTTATGCGGTGCATGTTTTATTCTGACTTTTCTTCAAAGAAATGAAAGGGAAAGAGCGATTTGTGTGTTACACGATTTTTAGGCAACTTTCTGAGTGCAATTGTAGTTGCGGAAAAGAATTGGCAAGACTCAGAAAACACCTTACCCACTGGTAAGGTGGCTGCTGTTGCGGCTGCTGTTGTTGTTGCTGGCAGTAATAGTCGTCGTCAGCCATTACGTACTCGGGACTATGCAACGGCGTGGATGTTAGCCCGAGCTTAGGATCCTTCGGCTTCCTCGTCTTCCTCTTACGGTTCTTCCTCAGTTCCTGCAGTAGTCGGCTGAATTCGGCCTCATTCCCGCTTCTGGCGGCTTGCAGCACTTTAACCAAAACTTTCTTCTGCAATTGAGGAATCATGATGACTACTTGTTAGAAGAAACTGGCGCTAGAGTTTACTTTAAAAAACTTTGGCAAAAATTACAATAAAAATGGAAAAGGAACTTACACATTATCGAGTAAAAACATTCACGAGATGTGAAATCAGAACATTTTTGTACACGATATCTGACTGAATTTCGATCGAAATTTTTATCGAATTTTATTAAAAAAAAAAATATGATCAAAATTTAAATCGAGATATGAAGATAAATTCATTATTAAAAAATTGATAATAAACGTCTGACAGTGTTTGAAGTTTATAAGTATGACACAGGTGTAGTTTTTGATTGAAAGTCAAACATCTCGATTTTAAATAATTAATGCAACATTCTGAATTTTTTGCAAGAAAATTATAACTAGGTGCTTAGCATGCCGACTAATCGTTCGTCCAACCTAGATTTTATAATACAACAATAATGATTACTCCCTCAGAGGGACTATTACGATCGTTCATATCTACTTAAAACAAATAGATACAATCAGATATTCGATTCAAGTGTGACGTTAGCGTTAGTCGACAATTGTGCGAACGTTTCGTCAATGACAATTGCACTATTAATCTCAGCTGCACCTTATCACATTTTTTACGTTTATAACAAAATAAATGTACATTTATTCCCGAAATTTAGAAAAAAAAGAAAAGGCACGAACTAGATAGACAAAAATACTGAACACAGTATGTAAACATTTAATGTATATTTTGCGACGCAACTGCAACACCACATGTTTAAGATGTGTTTATTTTAAGAAATACTCTTTTACTACGCCATAATTTTAACAAGAAAAAATTGACTTATTATCGCAATAATCCCAGAATTGTGTTCTCTTTCGGGCAAAATAAGCAGTAACATTCATGGCGTCAAAATATCGCCGTAGTTTTCACGGTATCAGATGGTCTTTTATATATTGATAAAAAGCTTACTGTATATATGAGGACGCATCTCAAAGTACTTATGCTGATCACGATGCAATGTAGACGATATACCGAAACACGTCTACCTGGGAAATGAATGTATATTCAATCTCCGGGATTAGAAGAAAAAAGGGTACAAAGTGTAGAAAGTGCAACTGACATGACGTTTGCCGGATCAATCGTATTACACTTGTAGAACTTGGAGGGATTAATACTCAGAATCAGGATTCTCCATCCTCCGTTAGATCGTAATTTCGAGATGTGCAAATACGGAAAGTGATTAGGTCGACCGTTGCCCAGGTGTTCCTGATCTCGCAACGGCGACAACGATGGTCACGGCTTTCTCGTACCGGCTGCTTCGATCGTTCATATCCATCCTGACCAAATGGATCAAAACAGTTAGATAACGTCTCAATAGACGCAAATCTAACGCCGATCAGTCGCGACCGACTCGGGTAACCCTTCGCACGGTGATAACGACGACGACGGTGATATGGCATCGGCGAATTGAAGCGACCGCTCTTGGTTAGAATACTTGGTTTCCTGCCGCAAGAAGTGTCCTGATCGAGGTGACAGCGCATGATCAACCGCCGTTTAACCTCGAATCGGTGACATCGAATCTCTTGACCCGAAGCACGATCAGTCCCATCTCTACCGATCGGTTGCTTACGCGATGGGGCGAGCGGACAGGGACAGGCGAGGCGGAATCAACGGACGGGGAATCGGGCATCGTCAGCGCCGACGCGATCGGCAAGATGATGACAGCTCTCACCTTGATGTTGCCCGGCACGCGGTACCTCAAGGCCAGGGCCTGCAGTTCCTTGTAGGACAGCTGCGCGATGTCGCCGGCGACGTTCATGCTGCTGCTCTGCTAGCTGTATGGCGGAATTTCGTCTGCTCGTCGCCCCCCTGACGGATTTCGAATTCGAGCCGGACTTTTAGCGCGAAAAGTGCCATAAAGCGCTCCGATTGCGATGTCGGGCACATTGTGGTACCGTCAGATTGGTACCATTAGATGGTGCCACCGGGCCGGGACCAATCGACGATATCTTCATCGTCGATTGGCCCCGCTCGACGAAATCGAGAGATGTCATCGGTTGCCAGATTTGCGGACGCTGCTCCTCGATCGTTGACGGAAAACGGGAACACCAATCCGAATCGGAAAACGTCTCTCGGCATCGCCCGGGGATTTATTTAGGAAAGGGAGTCTAGGTAGATAACGCTTGCTTGAACCAGTAGTGTTATCGAGCTTGTAACTAAGCTCTCTCTGACATCTGTAATTATTGCCGGTGGCGATCATACTCGTTCGCGGTTATTAGCCGTACGACATATAATGCGGTATCAAATTGTAATGTTTATTAAAGCTATATATATATATATATATATTTTGCTCTATTATAATTTGACACGACGTAGCAAACTACGATAGAATAGACTCAGGTTCTCGCTTTGTGCTACTTTTACATATCGACTTACGTACGCCGCGTTTGTTTACACGGAAAAAGTCTCGAGGTCCACGGAGAGTTCGTAAAATATTTACAGGAGACCGAGATTGAGAGATATACACTGTGTGACAAAAGTTTACGTGTGTCTAAGGAATAAGATACGAAGAGTGATAAAAGTTGGTAAACGGACTGTTAAAATCGACGAAGAGTAATACACAAATGCGAGAGATTCGTCGTAGGAATATTTATGTATTTTCTTTTACGAAATTTCCCCTCACGATTTCACGTGTACAATGAATACGATCGATTTATTGAAACGTTTAAACTCTTCGACAGTGACTTTCAAGTGATATCGACGTTTCATACGCCTTGGGTGATGCGAGTGTGCGAACATCGTGAATAAATAACTGTCTGCTATTTTGGTGGAAACCGATTAGATTGATTTATTTCCCTTCGTCAACTTGCCTTGCCAGCGGGTCGATATAGAAGGTGTCCAAAAGAAGTGCATGCCTCACAGGAGATTTCGAGCGATTGACAAATTTTCGAAGGTAACATTCGACATATGTCTCTTTCTTCAAAAATTATCGTGAAATTGGCACGAATCTAAAATTGGTTCTGGAATTTGCTCTAAAATTGAAAGAGGAACCTCTTTGTTACTTTGTCGTTTGAAAATTGAAAGATGAATCGCTTTGTTTGTACACACATGTACAGTCATGTGAGATTTGACAATTCGTCAGTCGGATACGTTAGCATATCCTCAAAATCATGTAATTTGCCATGTTAATAGGCAAATGTCTATTTTTAAATCGAGACAGTTATTAAAGTTGCTCGACTTGTCAGCTGCAAGTATCTCACGGCGAGTTTCCTCGACAGTGCTATTATTGAACGGACATAAGACAACTGAAATTCCGATAAAACAACGAAGCTGTCAGTTTTATTTTTCGCAATATAACATATTTACAGTTTCGTAGAAGGTTCTAACATTCCTGAGCTCTCAAGAGAGACCGTGCAAGCTTTCAAGATTCTAGAGAATCGCAAGACTTCCAAGACTTAACATTCTTAAAGCTCTTGAAACTTTTACGACGTTTTTAAGTGCTTAAGGTCATTTCATCTAACGCCGATTATAACTTTAAGCGTGACCTAATTTTCTCTCTACTTAACTTCTCATCCTGGTTCTTTTTTCTGCATCCTTAGGAAAATCATACAAGCGATCGTTCTAAATCAAAGTTTTTTTAAAACACAATTCCAAATCATTTTCAGTTCTGAACATTCGAGACGAGTTTCAGTAGCACGTTTCGTGCTACGTATCATAAGTAAGTCGAAGAACTCGTTAAGTCGTCACTACGCTAACAGGGTGTCAAGGATCACCGCACTTGCGCGGTGAAAGCGACGTTCCGCCGTCGGCTCGGTGCGGTTCAGTATGGCATTATCAGCGCGACTGCATCCATCCTCCACCGACAGCTTTCTGTGCGCAGCATCCGCAACTGCGTGGTGGTGGTCCATACCCTCACTCATTTGTTCCCTCCCTCTTTGTCTCTTCTCCGCTCCGTGTGTGCGCGGAGTTCGTTTCAGAGAGAGAGAGCTTCTCGGGACGCGTCGCGCCGATCAGTGAATCGAGTGAACCGATATCCCGTCGTTGAAATCAAAGGCAGGAAGTGTGTGTGAAGCCGATGAAGGCGCGTAAGAGTCGCGACAAGAGTAAGTTCGGACGACCGGTACGACGACTGTAGGGTGCCGATCGAGCTATCTCCTTCCTCCTGTGACGTACGTGTGGGCCAGTCGATGTACCGCTTGACGTGCGACGTGCACAGCCATTGACTTGGGGCCAGTCGATACTCAGCGGAGAGCGTCGTTGACAAGCGGAAGTGACAGCCGGGGGGGGGTGATAAGCCTAAACCTACCGAATGCAGCACGAAGGTGCGGTGATCAGTGATATGGGTCCTCTCTTCTCTATCTCTCACCCTTCCACTCTGGAAAGCCAAAGCAAATTGCCTGGTCTGTCTGTCTGTTTGTACGTACATAGTAGTGTTCACGTGCCCTCGTGAATGGTTGCTTTTACGTAGGGCTAAATCCAACCCTTCTGTCGCACGGGGACTGTGTCCGAGGGTCATGTCTCTGGACTTGACTCGAGTTTCTGAATGCATCCCTTCGGCTGATATTCTTGGATACTTTCTCCCCTTTCACCAAATTTCTCGGTTTCGTATCAATTTCGGGGGTTTTTGGATGTTTAGATACACGGCCTTTGAAATTTGCGAAGTCTCGGATTCATTCTTCCTTTGTTCTTTCCGATGATTTGCGTTACCTGTGTCCATTTCTCCACGACAGTTTTGTGTTTTCTGAGATTCCTACACAGAGATTCTGACTATTCTGACTTTTCAAATTTCCCCGACTCGGTTCTTTTATTGCGAGAATCTCAAGCGACCCTCCCCCTCCTTGAATTATCGAGTCTTCCGGTGTCTTTAATTAACTATCTGCTCTTTGTCTGTCCATGGCACACCTCAGTATTCTGAAAATTTTTGTTCACTTGAACCTTATGTTTAATTCTTCGAAGCAATTTTTAAATTATTAGATCCTTCCGTTTCAATTTCCTGGAGATCCTTGGATTGTTCATTCTTCCATAGTTTTGGATACATAGATTCTTAAATTCTCGGACAGTGATACTTTTTGGATGATAGAATGATTCCTGACGTTCTATGTATAAATCAACTCAATCGGAAAAGAATCGACGAACGTTAGTTGTCAATTTTGCGACAGCCCGAAATCTCTCCGTTCTTCGAAGAACTAATCTCGGCAGTGAGGTTTCTCCGCATCTCCTCGCGTATATTTTCGCAGAAGGAAGGGGTGGTCAGAAAGCACGGAGTAGAGGAGCTGCAACGTTACTATGGCAACCCCGGATACCCGGGACTGGAGCTAATGTTCGCAGCATGCGTAGGGGATAATCAAAATGTCGCAGCCTCTTAAAAAGTGATTCTTGCCAAATTGCCTCCAGTAAATCACGGGCGACACAGATTTGCCACACGAGTCTTAATCTATTATATACTCTTGGATTTTCTAAAACTTTTTCTGAAATTAATAGACCACCTCATCTCTGAATTTTACAACTCCCGAATTTTTTTTAACTTTCTAGGTTTTAGAATTTCTTAACGCTTGAGTTTAGATATTTTTTATATTTATATAGATCTTTCTTCCGATATCACCTGGATATTCAGACTCTTTATTTTTAGCTTTCTCTCCGTACTCGGATCTTTATGTTTCACTGCTTAAATTCTTACATTCTGTTTTTAGACTCTTAGATTCCCGTCGTGCGATTACTGTTGAGAAAATTGCTTAAATAATCCGTAGTCCTCTTCTAGTGTCACATTAGACTCTTTCCGATAGCGTGTCCCTGTCGTTTTTTAACTAGTAGTATAGCGTGTAACTTTAGCGTGTAACCGTAGTTAACCAGTTCGGTAATCTTCCCTGACATTTTCAAGAAGAAACAATAGAGTGTCTGTTCAAGTTGTACGTTCCCACTTGTAAAAGTAATTCTTGACAGAATTATTTCGAGCATATAATTTAGCATACATTCGTTTCATATGGTATATTATATATTCATATAGAATATCTTTCCCTTTCAGAAGTTGGAAGCACGCACGTGTTGCATCTTATTACACTTATAGCAAGGAGTATCTCAGATTAAATCTCTTGCGGACAGGAACCCACAGCACTGTAGAACCGTATCTATGAGTTATCTTCACTCTTTCAAAATCTGAAGAATGTGCTCTCGCAATTTCTTCTCCGAACTCTTTCAATCTTCTCAACTCCCCTCTTCTTCATTGATTCGTGCTACAGAGAGGTATGGACGTTCGTTAAAAATAATCACGTGATAAAGAAATGCTAAGTATAGATCTATATCCTCCGTTTTATACATATGTATGTAACTTTTCAGAATCTGAATTCAATAAATGTAACTTATAAAACCCCAATATAAGTTGCAGGAACGAGCAACTTTCTGTAGTACGAAACACTCCCACGATCTCTTTTCACCCCTGTTGTCTCTCTCGCCTCTCACGACTTCTCCGCCTGCAAGTCTGCGCACTGTATAGGTCCCCCTAGAGTACGCCGCCCTTTCTTCAGAGATATTAGTTTCATTCTCAATGGACTCCTCGAAAACTTAGAGGAAAAAGCACAGAAAACCTTGTTGCGTCTTTTTCTCTGAAATAAAATGGAGGTAATAAACGGGAAACCTTCCCTCAGCCGTCATGGTGGACGGAGGGTTACCTGGACCTTCCGAACGATGGGATGTCAATCCCACGTTTTGATAAGATGGGCGACGAGAGAGGGAGCATCTCGAAGGCGCGACACAGTCTTAGGAGTGAAGGGCTTGCGAACTTGCAGAGGGAGAGCTTGAAGGACTCGGGGGCGTTTTAGGGAGTTCCGGGGGCGCTGCGTTAGCCCTTAGCGGCCGACACAAGCCGGAGGAACTCGCCACTCTCGCGGCTACCACTAGGTTTTCCAGGAAGGAGATCCAGCTAATCTATCGAGGCTTTAAGCAGGAGTGCCCGTCCGGCCTGGTTGATGAAGACGCCTTCAAGCAGATATTCTCACAATTCTTTCCACAGGGAGGTAATAAAGGAATGATGATGACGATTGCTCGAGTGAATGATAACAGTGATAAGTCGTTAAAGCGGTTTTTTTCAGTGATCGTTCAATAGTAATTATAAGAAACGAATAATAAATATTTTATTGGTAATATAATTGATAACAATATATAGGATAAAATTATAATTATAAAATCCTGAAATATGAAATTTCTATTTATATATTTTCATACGATTTGCAGAATTCTCTCTTTTAGCTTCTTACTTAAAATAGAAAATCATTTTATCTTTTAAATACAATAAAATTGCAGACTTTTTGGTATCTAGATATTCTTTTAAATTATTGGCATTTATTTTTTTAATCACACCACGTGTTATGTAGATGCAAGCCAATACGCTCATTACGTCTTCAACACCATGAAGAGGAAACCGTCGGGCAAAATTAGCTTTGAGGTAAACAATACCATAGATAAATAATGACGAAAATTACATAAAAGTTCTTATGAGTCAAATATTCAGAATTCTTTTTTAATACGCTCGCGATCAGCGTTACATATATGTAACGATGCAACGATCTCTCACGAGAGATCATTTGATGTTGTGGCAACAAAAAGAGATTTTTTATGTCCACATTATCAGTCTGTTTTGCACAATTAAAAGTAAAAGAGAAAATACAAGGTAGCTTGTGAGGAAAATCCTCCAAATAAACTACGGTAGTGAATGTGTTAATAGAAATTTCTTAGTATATCATTAATATAGAATTAATATATATAAAGTATATCATTAATATATAAATATTATTAATGTTTTTAGAAAATTTGCGTTTATAATTAAATATATGAACAACTTTTTATTTAGGAGTTCCTTTCTATACTGTCGAAAGTATCGAGAGGATCGGTGGAGGAGAAGCTGCAGTGGGTGTTCGGGCTATACGATTTGGACGGGGATGGATTGATAAGTAAGGAGGAGATGTTGGATGTCGTGGGGTCTATCTATGAGATGCTGGGCCGTTACACGCAACCGCAAATCGCCGAACCACACGTGGCTGCTCGCGAACACGTCGATCGCATCTTTCACGTAAGGAAAAACCTTTCAATGCTCTTAAATAGTTGAGGAGAAAAAAGATATCTAATTTACAGATAATTGACAGAAATTAGTTTCGCAAAGTTTTATTTCTGTGATTTTTAACTTCAATAATTGCTTGAAAAAAATATTTACATTTCTCTTTCCAAAGTTTTTTCCCAAAGTTATATAAATTATATCTGACAATCTTTAATTAATAATAAATATTTTTTAATTGCAAAACTTTTAATTTTATTATTTATTAATTATACATATTTTTTAGTTGATGGACGCGAATAAGGACGGCGTAGTGACCATCGAAGAGCTGGTGCAATGGTGCTCGAAGGACGAACAATTGTTACGAAGTCTCGATACTCTGGACACTGTATTATGAAATCTCATCGTTCTATCGGAAACTATTAACGTATTATCAGTTTCGAGCAATAATAACGAGGCACGTGAAGCATCTCGATTTCTTTTCGATCCATCTCTTTTTCGCAAGTAAAGAAGGGATACGAAAGTTGTGTCAATGATAAGATAATTGCGTTTCAAAAACGATAAAATCGATCAAAAGTATTTCAAAATTTCCCAAAATAAGGAACGGAAGTCTCTAAGTAATATTTTGTAAATCTAAGTGAATCGTGAAATTTGCGTAAAAGTTTATGTAAATCTCGTCATATCATCGCAAACTTATGATTTACAGAGGTAATACATAAGATAAATCAAGACGCCATTTGAGGCGAGAGAAAACCAGTGTAGTGAACCGAGATATCATTGCTCGAGACGTATCTTAAGGGAAAGACGTTGGAGAACCCTTCCGCACGTGTCTTTGTAAATATATATGTACCCGGTTTACCTACCCAGTCTTTCATGTACAACACTTCCGGTACGTCATATGACGATCGAAGGGACCTGAGAGAACCGACGATTTAGTTCAGCTTTGGAGTTCGTTGAAAGCCTTTACAGCTGCGAGATTTTGAATCGTTGAGAAATTATTACTATATTAAATTATTTTCATTATTATATTGATTAATTCATTATTATATTATATTATTTTTATTATTATATTATATTAATTATTATTATATTAAATTATTACATTTACGGAATTATGCATTGTAAAAATTCTAATTAAAATAACTAATTATATCGCAGAAAATAAACCGTTGGTTCATCCGGGTGTTCAACTTCTTGCACAAGAAGTGAATGAATTAAGATTAATTGATACAAACTTGATCCGCAAGGGCAGATTTATGACTTGCAGAGTCGAGAATCGACTTCAAATTTTATGAGTTCTTGTTCTAAGCCGGATGATATCCATGTAGAACGAATGGATTTCACAGAATGTAGGGATTTCTTTTGATCTACTTGAAGTATTTTTAGAGTGATCATTGCTCTCTCTAGATACACTCGCGTAACGTTTCAAAGTGTTTAAACTTCGGCGTTTTCAATGATACGCATTAATCGATTGATCTTTTGGGTGCGATTTTGCTCTAACTTCTTCACATTTCTAAAAATTTAATCTTTCAATCTTAATATAATATATATTATCATGCGAATGCTGAATTGGCGTGAGTTCTTTAGCCATCGATAATGAAAATGATACTCTTTTTGGACCAAGTGAAGGAAATCAATGTTGTCCTCCTAAAACCTGGTCAACACCTCGTGTGATTATACTGTACCTTATTATACACATTACGTAATGTTATTATAATATTAATGAGAAATTATTATTATTATATTAGAATTAAGCCAACTTGTCTGCCATGGGTGACACATCAGTAGCAATGCAATAATACTGTTCGACTTTCTCGTGAATCTCTTCTCGTGAAATCGTTTGAACTTTCGCTATCCATGTTTTTGAATCTTTCAAATCTCGAATATTTCAATCGTTGTAATTTTAGATATATTTATTTTTAATTTTCAGGTTTCTGGAACGTTTCAATTCTTTTCAGTTTCTCGAAACTCCGAATTTTTATTCCCGAATTTCGAAGAGAGAGAGATTTTCTTACGAAAATTTAATTCGACTTTCATGGCAGATGAAATATCGAGAATGTTTACCACACTCGTCCCCAAATTGTTGAGATTTGAGATTTAACTACTTCTTATATACGAGAAAAACTATTACACGTTACCGACTTTGTTAGAGACGTTTTTCGTGGATTTATTCCCGTCGCATTGCGAATTTCTCAGCGTTACAGACGCGAGCCGTGTCTTTAAACACACACGTGTGTTTAGCGGATTAGCATATGTAGCGTATACATATGTAGACGCACTTTTGTTAAAACGCATGTATACTCGTGCATACCTACAAAAATAAAAAAGAAATCTACCTTTGTACCTCGAACCACTGTATTGTTTATCATTACAAGTGAAATTTTCTTCCTTTTACTAGAATATTATATATAAATAAAGAAAATAGAGAGAGAGAGAGAGAACAAAGAAAATGCCCTTTCTCTTATTAGAATATTAAAAATATAAATTTGAAACAATATTTTAATTTATATATATAATCAGTGGACTTTTCCATATATTTATAAATATTTTTGGTAACTGCAATTTATAATGTTTGAAAGTGCCGTTTATAAGATAAAAGGCTGACAATTTTTAACTGTCGATTCATTTGCATTAATTTCATGCTTATAATCGATATTCTTAATCAGATCTTATATTTACGGTCGTCTTAAGTTCATCTTCAGATGCTTTGTAGCCAATAAAATAAGCCGCTTCAGTATCTGAAGATGAACTTAAGACGATCTTAAATGTAAGATCTGGCTATGAATACCGGTCTATTGAGAACTTACTTGTGTCTACGTTCAAACGTTACTTGACAATGTATGGTATTTTTATCAACAACACAATGTGTTCCTTGTTTAACCATTTCTTTGGGCTAATACAAATATGGCGGATATGGTGTGTGCGTGCGGATCGATCGAGGTTATCACACTTGCGACTCTGGCATTACTAGCCGTTATCAGCCGTTATCACTGTTTCTTAGCAGGTGTTCGTGGAATGTCGCAAACCGGGTAAGATGGCGACGGACATCGGTATATCAAAATACGTGAAATATGATTGTGATTTGTTAAAATTATGAGTATACCTGAGTCTATCCGAAGAAAGAAGCGAAAATGGCGAGGATACGATGGTCCTTGACGAAGGTACCGAAAATTCTAAGGTAAATTCTACGAAATTTCTAACTATCAAATGCTGTCAATTTATCAAACTGTTTTTCTGCTAATTCATTAATCATTTGAACATATATCAATTAAAAAGTTCACTCGTTGTTCCCTCGTTCATCTGTAAACTTAATGAATACTTCATTTGATTTATTTTAAGGGTTAGTTTGAAACGGAGGTTATGGCGGTTTCAAATTGCATTCAAATCCCTGTTCTACAACGACTTCCTAGACTGGAGTTATGCTTGTGATATATTGATGGAACCTCTGTTCTGGTTCGTCGAGAATTTTACTGCCTGTCTGGGTCCTGTAAGATCTTGAATATTATTTAACGTTATCTTTGGGCTTTTCATATAAGTTTATGCGTGACATGGAAATAATTATAAAATTTTATATTATATATATAAGAAAGATAGTTTTTGATAGTTACATATATATCATACAAATAATAATATTCTGCAAAACACCCCAGAGTATTTCATTTCATATAAGAAAGAAATCACCGTACTCACAATATATTTACTAAGCATTGCAGTCCATAGGCATTTGTGGGAATGGTGATCCTGCTAACTGCAAGTATAGTGTACATCGCATACTACGTTGGTCTGCCCTACTGGTGGAACCGAAGTCCATTCACTACGGTGATCCTGCTAATAATTGGGAATTGGTTACTGGTTAATGTTTGCTTCCACTATTACATGGGTTTGAGAGTACCACCAGGCTATCCACCGCAAGGTGGCCTTATCCCTGAGGCTGTGAGTATTTGCAAGAAATGCATCAAGCCAAAACCACCCAGAACACACCACTGCTCTGTCTGCAACAAGTGTGTTCTCAAAATGGACCATCATTGTCGTATCCTTATGTATCTTGTGGATCCATTTAAATACCCAATTACTTTACCAATTATAACATCGCATGTGTCGAGGAATGATAATATTTATATCGAAATACCATACGATTGGTATCTTCCTTAATTAAAACGTGCAGCGTGGCTGAATAATTGTGTCGGGCATTATAACCATCGACACTTCTTCCAGTTCATGGCTTTCGCCGTGTTCGGCTTTATATTCATCATGATTTTTGGCGTGGAGCTCGCCTATGAGGAGTTCTTCCCTGCGCAGGAGCCGGAACTGGATGGTCACCCGGTACGCCTTAATAATTCTGAAATAATTCCCATGGTGAGTGAACGCTACATCCAAAAAATTTGTGATTACCGACCGATTTTATTGAGTTTAATCATTTTTTCAAATTAACATTAATATGTGTTTGATCATACAGACGGAGTCGTTGGATCATTTAACCGATGAGGAACGAGCAGAGATAGCAAAACAAGCGGCGGAGAACGAGGCCAAAGAGTGGCGACGAAGACTGATTATTTTCGCAGGTCTGATCAGTGTCGCTGCGTCAGCAGCGGTAGGTGCCCTGACTTGGTGGCATGCCGGACTCATCACCCGGGGAGAGACGAGCATTGAAGCGCATATCAATAGCACGGAATCTCAGAAGCACAAAGCACAGGGCAAAGTTTATCAAAATCCTTACGATTTCGGACCGAGGGAGAATTGGAGACTATTTTTGGGGGTAAAAAACAGGTAACACAGAAATTACTAAGATTAGTGCTAAGATTTTTATCAAAGTGTGTCTATTCAAACCCAAAAAAAATTCTCCGATTTTCCAAGTAATTTGTTAAAAATTCTAAGTGAAATGAAAATATTTTTTAATATATCTTGCAAATGAATGTATATTTATTGTACAAAGTCTTTAATATTTTCCATTTGTAAAAGTTTATAAATCATAATCATAATAAATAATAATCATTCATAAAAGTTTATGAAATAAAATTAAGAGCCACTCGAGTTTCAATGATTAAATTTGAAAATTTTTTAATGAACTGTGTTTGAAAGGACTTTAAAAAATAAATATTTTATATTGTATATCATTTTCAATATTTATTTTAAAAAATTATAAACAAACAAATTATGTAATGCATAACCAGTGCAAAATGCACTTTCATAAAATCATTGAAATAAATATCTGTCTTAATTATACAAAATTGCACGATGTTGTCTTTAATACTGAATATCGAATTAGTCATAAAATCAGTATCTTTTAAAATCAGAGCAATATAATTGAACATTTTAATTACATATGTAGATATAGAACAAAAGAGAATCGCTTAAAAATTTAGTACAAACATAAAAAAATACTAATATTTAAATATTAGGCAAAAACTTAAAAACAATTTTAAATGTATATGCACAGAATGTTAATAAGTTCGCGTCTACGCAAACTATAGCACTATTTTTTTTTATTAATTAATATTAAAAATCAATTCGAAAAATCCTGAATTATTTTTTCATGATTCTTAACCCTTTGAGTACTGAATTATTTTAAGATTTTTATGCCCATGGGACGGATTTAATTTGTCGCTATATGGATTAATATGTAAAAGTAACACATTTTATGCCCAAGTAAGCATATGACGAGTCTCACTCGTCAAATGTACCGAAAGGGTTAATGAAGAAAATATTAAATAAAATTTAGTCAATCACACATTTGTCTATAAACAATGTGATATGATTTTCAAGCAAATGTCCATTTAAATTCTCTGATTTTTCCAGATAAATTCCTTGAGAATTGCAAGTTTTTCAGGTAGTAAACACTTTGTTTATGAATTTAGCCATTGTCACACGTTAAGATCTTTATATTTCGTGGCGTTTTTTTTTTCTTTTAACAAGGCTGGTACAATTAAAAGATGCATTTTCAGATCAAAGGAATCTCATTCACATTCGACGATAAGTAATAACTACTATGAGTTGTTGAACGTATGAATTATTTATTGGCACTTTCAGGTCAAAGACTATAAGATATATTGAGTATTTTTTTCTCATCGTCAAACATATTAAGTCATGATATAGATTCCATATATTCCATTTTTATATACCCGTTTTTCATTCGTTGTTGTAGGAGTTGGTGGTCAATTCTTTTTCCATCGAGGCATGGCCCGTACAGTGACGGGCTCACGTGGCGAACCATTCACGATAGTAAAATATCCTGATTTCTGAGGCCCAGAAGACCGAGGAAGCGAGCGTCAGTCTCACACTTTACGATCCACACCTTTCCGTGATCCTCCTTTCCGTTTCAATATTCTAGTCATAACTGCAGACTGTTCAATTATACACTATCATGATCAATTAAAAATAGCACCATATACATGTACAACTAGCCACTCACAATCACTGATTAAAATAGTTCTCTTTACGAATAATAATTGTCAGCACAGATCGCGTCGACCGTTTTCTGAAAAATTGCAAAAATTATTCTCATACAATATGCGAATATTATGAAACGGTGAACATAGTGAAATGATGTTCATTACATTGTTTTTTAATCGACGATCAATTTGGATCTTAGACGTCGAAATGATACTGATTTAGTTCTTGAATAAGCAATTGTGAAGTCTGATTTAGTCGAGGAGAATAAAGAATTGTTTCTTTTGTACCTTTTGAAAAGCTGAACGAATCGCGATCATTGACCCTGCGGCCAGACGATATTCTCGATCCAGGGTAGATAATGGGACACTCTGGTGTAAACACCAGGTGAGTTGACGAGCGCGCATCCCTGACCGAAGCTGGTGATGCCAATCACTTGGAAAAGACAATGATTTTTCGGATGAATCACCTGCAAAGGCCCTCCGGAATCGCCCTGGCAGGAATCTTTGGTCCAACCGCCGTGAGGATCACCTGCGCAAATCATGCTCGGCCTGACGCCGTATGGAACCTCTCTGGAATTGTTATGCTGTATCGTGCACTCCAGATTGTCTATAAAGTTCAGCTGAGCCTTTTGCAATTTGTCAGCCTGTTCCCCGGCTGAAATTATCGTCAAGCTTATTAAATTATTATTTCGTTCATTTTATTAATTCACTAAAGGCCACGAAATGATATAAAGAATCCCAATCAAGTTATTTTCATCAAAAGATCTCATACGGAAAATATAACTCTGGAAAATTAGATATCGGGGAAATAAATGTCGAAAATTAGACGCGTTGATCGCTAATGGGTCACTTCTCGAAGTGTTGGGGAAAATACTCAATTCCTAACAGAAGTGAAATTTTTAAAATTTTTAGATCCTTAAATTTTCTGTCTTGGCGACTCCAGAGATTGATTGATATTCTTCGGTTTCTTGCACGAAAGATTCTTACCGAATTCAGTAACACCCCAGCCGCTGACCCAAGCAGCCGTAGGCACGCCGTCATATTGTTGATAGAGACAAGCCGGTCGTATTAATTCACTAAATGCGACGGCTTTCTTGAGCTTTACCAAAGCGATATCCGAGTACCTCGCAGGCGAGTTAAACTCCGGGTGCCGTACCGTGGTCTCGATGGCAATTGTGATACCTGATTGCTGGTCCGTTAATGAATGAATACCCATCCGAGCGTCAGACGGACCGCCACTGCAACAATCGTGAATCGTTAAAAACAGTCCAATTATTTTAAAGAACAATTGCAAAACAGAGCTTTGTAATCTCTGTAGATTCTTGCGGATTCCTGCATCTTTGATATTTAATATTTTCAATTCGACAAATGAGCCATATTTATGTAAGAAAGATCTAACTCGTATGGAATACGTTTCGAGAAAAATGAAGATGAAAATTTGATGCACGATTTAAAAAGTATAAACAGCTGTGAAGTTCTTCACAATTACTCAAAAAGTCAAGCATGGCCCATTTTCTTTTCCTTAAGGATATCTATAAACCTTTGAAGTTTAATTCTTAAAAAAATAGCACTAGTAAAAAATGAAAATTGTGTTTTAATTAATTTTAAATACCCATAAGGCTTGTTTTTTTATGTAGAAAAACATATTTTTGTTTTATGTAAAAAAAATGTACAGACTATCCATTGATAATAAAATCTCGAAAATCATAATTTTTTGGGTTGGATCCTTCTCGCATAACCATAGCCGATTGTTTATTGAAATTAAAATATTTTGTAGTGACGTAGAAGAAACGCTGGAAAAGCTGGAAAATCAATTCTGAGGTTTGTCTGTGTTCGAGACTTTATCTGTTTCATTATTATAGTCACTAATGAAGTGATTACAAAAAAACCCAAAAAAAGAACAAAAAAACAGTTCTCATCGAAGAATTCTTATGTTAAGTTAAAGCGAAAGGAAAAATAACAGAAATGTACTTTGGCCCGTAAGTGCAATGCGCAGCGGAAAGTACCCAGGTATGCGAGATCAGCGTGCCGCCGCATATCAAAATGAATCCGCCAGGAGCGAATCTACCGAGGGCGACCATGTGCGGGAATTCGCCGATCGCGGCCTCGGTGCCGCCGACTACGAGAATATTTACATTCCGACACGTTCTCCACGTGTTCTCCACTTTGATCACGTCGACTGACGTGCCGACTAGAGATGCTACATTGGTTGTGCCCACAACTTCTCTCACGTATTCTTCGCACTCTGAAATCAATATTACAAGCGTCACCATCTGCATCGGACTTAACGATGAGATCTCTGAATTTTTGAATTCGCTCGGATGCCTTGAGATTTCTTAGACTTAGATCATCGTGCCTGTGCTTTGTAGTTCTTTCTTTCTTTTTTTTCTTAATCTCCAGGTTTATGTAATTTTAGAACCTGATCCATTCCACTCACTGAGTTCCGATCTTGTTTTCGTCGGGCCAATCTTGATCGGTATCAAATCCAGCAATGACGGCGTGGTTGGAGGTCTAACTTCTTCAGAAAAGGGTCTCTGAGGCGTAGGAGGCTCAGGTCTGGGAGGTGTTGGTGTATAGTAATACGGTGGTCTGTAAGGTACTTGTGTGACTGGCGTAAAGGGTGTTGGTGCAAAAGGACCTGAAGCATTAAAAGGTATGATTGTATCAATCCGTGAATGGGGTTCGGAATTTAAGAAGGGATTGCCACTGCTGAATATTGCCACATGTGACGTTTGGTTCTCCGTAGTCAGAGAGATATTTAACACTATTCCCAATTGACTTTCGCTCTTGTTTCCATAGAATTGCAAGAAAGGATTGCCTCCTACGTTGGGAAGCTTCACGGGTCGTTGGAGGAAAGGATTGTTTGCAATGCCTGCACTGAGTCTGGTAATGTTCTTTTTCTTGGAGGGACCTTGGTTACCTGGAAAACACAAAAGCTAAGTTACACATACACATACACAGACATGGATATGCGTGTGTACATAACTTTTTTGCACAGTTCTTGGAAATTCTCCGATATAAACACTTCAGAATCGAGAGAGATAGATAGATAGATAGATAGATAGATAGATAGATAGATAGAGAAAGAGAGAGAGAGAGAGAGAGAAGTGTCAAAGATACACAATTTGTAATTTAGAATTAACTTAAAACTCCCCCGGAGTTAAAAAGAATCTTCGCGACGGTACAAACACTACACTGGGTATTGATCAACCCTCAGGCGATCGTGAACCTCCTTCTCCAGCGTGAATTCGTAAAAAGTGTAGATTTCCTTATTTTAAAGCATTTAGAATTTTCACGCCTTAAGGAAAAATTACATGATCGATACCGTGTTTACGAGAATTTCAGACTCTACGAACCTGATGACGACACCGACGAACGCAAACAACGATCGTCACGCAATAATGTTAATTAACAACGCAAAAGGCCAATTTGAAAAATTGCGACCCCCTATTAAGGGGAGTACAATAACACATGGAACGACCGTCGACGAGAAGCACCTGTATTTTTGCCAGAACAGACGGAAACGGTGCCGAGGATCAGGAGAACGACGAGCAGACGGAGATCCATCACGATCGGACACGACGGTGCGATGACGCCGGCGGCGTTCGTGAGGAACGTGTGAGGGATGCGCGAGGATATCGAGTGCCAATGTCAAGGCATTCGACGGCAATAAACAGCGATTACGCGTTGGAATCCATCGCGTGAGGCACCCATCAGCTCTCCCTCTTAATCTTATTCGCGAAGAGACGAAAGAGATGACGATGAAGAAGTAGGAAGAGACGAGGAGAAGAGAAGAGAAGCGCGCGGAGAAGCTCTCAAAGTGGGGAGGAAAGGGGGGAGGAAATGGGGGGGAGTCTTAACTGTACTCGGATCGCGATTTTCCGTTCTTCGATTTGCTTCAGTCCGTTGAAAATGTATTAGTCAGCGGGATTCAGTTGATAAATGATAAAGCTAAGTTGTTGTTAATCCGCTGATGACACGACGTAATTATATCATATTTCGTCGTTCTTCCGCATTCATATTGAGACTGATACTCGGAAAACACTAACCAACAGTAACATTAATACAGCGTTATAATTTTTCATTCAACAATGTAATTATATACAACATTACGTACAACGTGTGATATGTTGCACTTACATTATTAAATGAGAAATTATAACAATGATGTAATATTACTGTTGGTATTTACACATTAACATAAAATTAACTATCGATTTTATAACAGATAACTCGTAATTGGAGAAACGGTCGATTTTTCAAAATATCTTCGTCATGATCGTAACTCACAATGCGATGATAAATGTAATGTATGACACTAAAAACATCGAGAATGTTTTGTTAATTAATGAATGAGAACGATGATTTTATAAGTAGCGCAGTGTCGGTGATATATTTAACACGTTCATTGCCAGTCACGCGATATCGCGTGATGTGAGTTCTCACTAAACGGCCGATCACGCGTTATCGCGTAATAGATATTTAGAGTACATAAATCCTATGTACATAATAATAAAAGCATATAAATAATATATTAACTTATTTTGAGCACAATAAAAACTAAATAAAAAAATAAAAAAAATTTGGCCACCACACGAAATTCCAATTTTCAACTTGGCAATGAACGTGTTAATTCATAATCAATTCACTGTGATATTTTCAAGGTACTCGTGCACGATTATCTGATCCATTCCGACCATCGATTATGAACGGTCGGTCACTAGTTGGTTACACGCTTTAACATCCAAGTCAACATTAACGAATGAGAAAAAGGAAAGACAGGAAGGAAATAAGCGGAGGGACGTTCGCCAAGGATGAGCGCTCAACGCGTCTTCGGTCAGAAGCCGATTGGTCAATGGGGAATCTCCGGTTCTGACGTAACCAGCCCGAGCGGACAAACCAGTCTGTCTCGCAAAAATTGAAGAGATAAAGAGATGTCGAGTAACAGGAAAAAGACTAATCTGGTATTACCCGCCTATAATATATATATATATATATATATATATA